AGCTTTAATTCACATGGAAGTGTTCCTAAAGTCATATGCTGTAATGATATTTACATTATGAAAACATGATTTTGGACATTTCAAGTTTTTCACTTCGGCAGATAAAATGAATTGAGCAAAATCAACTCAAAATATTCCCACACGCCAGAACGTCCTCTCTTCCTCGCTGGCTCCATATCTGTCAGTGGAATGATCACCTAGTCGCTATCTGTCACCATCAACACACTCCACGAATCCCGTGGATGATTCACTTCCTTATATCCGTTTGAATCAGGTACCGAAGCAGTTAAGTGCGTAATGAAGCTTCGGACGTCACTGGTCACGTGACTTTTGCCAAACGAAGCAAGCCTCGACACAGTGCTTCTGAACCAGTGTGTTGTTTTTTTCGACACACGCTCCGGAGCGTCAGCTTCAAGCGGGCCATCACTAGTGTTTGGATTTACTGTTTTTCTGTGCTTTTTGTGATGTTGTTTTACATTGTAAGAGATACAATTGCTGGTACCATCAGAAGACACCTGTTGAGTGTGTTTTATGTCTTCTGCAGGTACGTGAGCTTATTAACAGTCATTTTGTCTGTAAAGCACAAGCAAGTGAAGATGTAATGCGCTATTGTTAATTTGTCCACTAGAGGGCAATGATTAGCCGGTGATACTGTTTACTGAGACTTCTGTAACCTGTTATTTTGTTTTATACGGTTGTGAAATGGATTTTTATTAGTCATAAGATTTCTTTTTGTATACAAGTTCAGTGTGACAGACTGTAAAATGGGAGAAATTATTATTTTCCAATTTTTCTTTATTAAAAAGTTAATTGTAAGTCTGTCAAGACAGCGCGCGTTTGCACTGTGAGGGAGATACAATTGCTGGTACCATCAGAAGACACCTGTTGAGTGTGTTTTATGTCTTCTGCAGGAATAAACTGTGAAAAGCCAACCTTTCTGAGCGTCTGTGATTTTTGAAGAGCTGGAAGTGTTACAATAGCACCCACCCAGCTGAATAGAAACTGCTAGCAATAACATATAACATGCAAGCTAGTACGCAGCAGGAGTTATTGTAACTGACTGTAAAAAGTAAGCACAACGAAAATAAACTCCACCTAAACTTGGTTTATATCTGACCCAGATAGACTGCAGATCATAACTTCTTACCTGAATTTCAGTTCACCTGACACTTGGACGGGCAGCCGCCTCGGGTCTCTGCTCCAGAAAAGCTTGCAGGACGGGACTTGCGACAGAAAAGCCGGTCAGCTGATTATTGATTAGTTTTATGATTGAAGTAGCAACAAGAGAGGGAGGGGAAGAGAAGAAGAGGCAGCCATCACTGTTATCAGTGTAAAGACAGAATAACTTTGTGTCTTTTTTCATTCTAGCGGGACGAATCGTATTCCTTTTCACCTCAATGCTATTTTCTTCGGTTTCTCTGTAATAAGATTGCTTTCAGAGCCGTTACCCAATCAAGGGGGAGGGTGCATCTGACCTCCTTGGCTGTAATTGGTCCAGCCCAGAGTCGATCATGACCAATTGGCCAATCCACCACCTTTTATTGTTTATACGTTACAAAAAAACCAAAAAAAAAACATTGGCCCATAAAAACGAAAAATCACCATCGACCCACCGGACAGTCCAGCTTTGTGGGTGGGTGATATTAAAACCCGATCCTTTTATCCCTATGATAGAACAGAGAAAACCCGACTCATAGTGGTCAAAACATTTATATTTCTTTTTATTCAATCATCTTCCGGAAGAGAGAGCCCTGCACAGCCCAAACGCCAGTTGCAGAAACTCTAACATTAGAATTTAAAAACGTCTCACATATAGGTGTTATTTTGGTACTTTACACGTCACACAGTTTTGATACAAACACTCCTTATATGGTACAAGTTCCTCTTTTCTGTCTGGCTTCCTGTATTTATTAATATACTTGTATAGCTCTACACTAACTTCCTGTTTTTCAGTCTGGCTGAGCACTTAGTTTATGAGTCAAAAGTGGCCTTGCTGTACAAACCTTCATTATTAAAGTACATAAAACAATATAATAAGAAAATAAGCCTTAAAATATATATATTTAAATCTCAACAGTGATAATTCCTGATGTCAAAGTTCAGAGGAGAACAGGCAGACTGCTTCAAGCTGATAGGAAGGCTCAACTCAAACCATTTAACTCAACAACCATTCGTTGCAATGAAATTATATTTATTTTGTAAAAATACATTTGCACACTGATAACAGCAATCTTCATCTCAAATATTTTTTTTATTTTGTCACTAAATGGTCTAAAAAGATATCATAAAAACAAAAGTTAGACAATGTTGAAAACAAAAAGTCTAAATTTTTCTAAATTTATTATAACCAAGTAAACAAATCTCATGAGCCCTTAATCTGTCAGTGGATATTCATGTTTCATCTCTCTCCTTTCCTCTAAACTGTAATTAGAAAAGTTGATTAATATACAAAGGTGAAAAACTGGAAGTTGTTCAACAGAAGACAATAAAATAAAATTACAAAATATACAGAATATTAACACATGAGACAAATTCAGATGATTCAGATTATATTACTGGACACAATTGATTAAATAATTCTAATTTAACTTTATCTGCAACAACTTTCAGCAAAAGAAGGATAAAGTAAACTGAATGTATTTGTTCAATGTAAGTGCAAAATACACACAAAAAGGTTTTATTACAAAAGCTACATTTCAATAAGAGTTACTTTTAAATGTTCAATCATTATTACATAGTAAGAGTCTAATCTCACATGCTGTGAGTCTCTTTGTTAGAATTATGTATAACTATGTTGTAATAATCCTGTCATTTCTAAAAAAAAAATCTGCTATTTTACCTGAATCACTAAATCTTTCTTTCCGTCATTATGTAAGACATATAAACCGAAGAATGCTGTTTCTTTGACTCATTTGCACATTTCATCCAGACTTCTAATGGCTTTGCATTTAGAGATTGTTTTCCACTCACTGGGAATCTCTCCTCTACCCTGGAATTTGAAATTGTAGTGCTCTTCCAGTTTCTTTTGAAATCGACACACAAACCATTTCCAGTACACCAGTTTAGACTCATCAGGAGTAATTCTCCAGTCAGCATACTCTGGACCAGCAGTTCTGTACCTTTTATAGGGAACAGTTTCCTCTGAATCATGACAAGGATAAAAACTGCCATCACTTGCAACGTTTGTTGTGCAGAAATCAATGCTGAATTCCACTGTGCCTCTATAGTGCCATCCTTTGATTCCAGAAGGCCGATGAAAAGGGACACTATGGTCAGCACCACTGTGACCTTCAATGGTGTTAGTACAAACAGCTGCACAGAATGGACATTTTACCCAGCAACAATTACACAGCTGATCAATGAGGATTTCATCAGGCTTCAGCCTGGATTCCTTCAGTTTATTCAATGAGAGACTCCTTATCTCATCACTTATGGGTGTAAATTCTTTCTTTAATGCTTCCATTAAGAAATCAAAATTATTAATGTCACTGAAGTTTTGAGAAGAAAACGTATCAAGAGTTAACTCTTCTTTTAGCAAACTAGAAAATTCCTTCAGCCACATATTTATGTCTCCTCTCTGAGTTTGGACTTTCTGTGTTGCTGTAGATAAAGCTTGACTCATCAGCATGTTAATGTCATCAACATTTTTCTTGAGTATATTCACAGTTTCATCTTTGTGATCTCTGAAGATGTATTTCTTTACTTCTGCTTTTATAAAAGCTTCTGTTTGGCTTCTTGGATTTCTGATGTAGGTGATGAAATCATCAAAGTTTTCATTCTCAGCGAGTGACTTCAGCACATGTTTCTCCAAGTTCAGCCTGTTCCCATTGAATGCTGGGAAACTACACCTCATCTCTCCAGCCAGACCAATGGCAGTCTTGTTACAGACAGCCTCAACAATGGAAGCTTTCAACTTTTCACAGATCAGTTCTGCGAGCACAACAGCAGATAAGTTTCCTTTGCAAAAGCTTCTAAAAACATTGTAATACTGTGTTTTCTTGCTTTCTAAATAAGTAAGTGGATCATGCTTCATTTTGAATTCCTCCTGGGAGTCTAGAAGCAAAATCTCTGCTTTGTAGAAAACATACAGTAAGAGATCAACTTTAAAGTCCTTCTTCAAAGTACATTTACTTTCTGACTGAAATTTCTCCACTTTTTCTTTTACAATTTTTGCCACTTCTTGCAAGTAAGCTGATGTGTAGCCTCTTGTAGCCACAGGTTTGGCTCTGATTGAATCAAGGGACAGTTTTTCAGCTTTGTCAATGAGCAATCTGATCTGTTGCTGTTCATGACAAGATAAAGCACAGTGTGATTTATGTTGTTTTTGTGTTGTGTTTGAATTATATCTAAAAAATATTTTGGTATACTTCCAAAAATTTGAGACAGGATTTTTAACATATGCGCCGAGTTTACTTGCGTGACTGTCATCCTTCACAACATCTTGAGTTGGTTCACTTTCACCTGCCTCATAAAGATCCTTTTTTTTTTGAAGGATGACATAATCTGAATAATCACCAACACTGGATATTTTCTTGTAACTGCCACTTGTTTTGGATTCATTTATGAGAATAGGTTCAAAACCAAGTTCTTGGAGGATTTTAAACTGATCCTCTTCCAGGTCGATGTCTTCAACAGGTTTTATATCTGCTGTTATTTCAGTGACCAGGTCACTCCAAACAGAGCTGAACTGTTTTTGAAGTTCTTCTTCATCTTTGGCCTTATCCTTCAGCTGCTGAGCGAGCTCTTTGCTCTTCTGTAGCAGCTTGTCCTCAAACTCTTTTTTCTTATCATCCAGCTTTTTACGAGCCTCCTTTTGTTGAATGACTTCATCCAGTTTTCTTTTCACTGTGCTCACCTGTTCATCGTGAACCTCTTTGAGTTTGGTTTCAAATCGGCCTCTCCACTGAGCCAAAAATTCTTTTTCTCTGTTTTCGTCAAAATACTTTTTCATTGCTGTTTTTATTTCTTCATATGTCTTGCTTGTTTTTTTTGTAAGGTCACTCACTTTCACCATGTCAAGATTTCCATTTTCTATTCTGTTATAAAGCTGATTTTCAGCAGTCAACATGTTGCTCCTGAGGTCCCAGGTCCAGTTTCCATATTGGATCTCCAATTTTCTGTATGCTGCAATTTCAAGTGTATTTTTAAAACTGAAAACAAAGTTTTCATTGAGGAGGGCACTCCACAGGTCCTGGATTTTGTATTTGAATTGTGTGAGAGTGATCCCATCAGACTGTGAAGCTTTAGAGAGGATGACGTTCTTCACTTCTTGGATGCTCTCACTGTAACCTGGATTAGGAGGAGCCATGGGTGGACTGCCCTCCCATAGCTGGGCACAGTATTTCACATCTTTTCGGACATCAAACTTAATGACATCACTGAAGCAGTCAGCATTGCAATCCTCCTCTTCAGCTGCTAGTTTGGTCATCTGGTCCAGTTTTTCTTGCAGGCGTCTCTTTCCATCCATGTTTTTCTCTGCTGCTGCAACATCTGTAACATTCTGATGAACAAAAACACAACTAGGAGAAAGGTTAACTTTCTTCATCCTCATGAAAGCCTGAACAACAATCTGCAGGATGTCCTGCATCTCAGATGGATTCTCTCCAAAGATGTTGATCAGCGTCAGGTTTCCCAGGCCAACAACAAATGTTGCCAGTTCGTTGTCATGGTGATGAGTCGTGTTACCTTCCAGCTCAAGAGCACGCAGTCCTTCAGTGTCCACCACTAGAAGGTAGTCAAACTTCAAGTCTTTCTTCATCTCCTCTGATACTTTGAGCAGCTGCATGAAAGCACCTTTGGTGCACCTGCCTGCACTCACTGCAAACTGCAACCCAAACATGGTGTTCAGCATTGTTGATTTTCCACTGCTTTGTACACCCAAAACTGACAACACAAAAACTCTCTGGTCCCCCAGTTTCTTGATGACTTCCTCTAAAAGACTGGAGATCCATGTTAAAGGCACGTGACCTGCATCACCATCCATCAGCTCCATCGGGTGTCCTGATATCATCAGCTGTGCAGCCAGCTCAGGGTATTTAGACCAGTCAGTGTGTCTGCTCTCTCCTTCTATTGCTCTATGAGCTTCATAGATCTGTCCCATTTCTCTGAAGATGTGCTCCAAACCAAAAGTTGCAGACTGCAGTTTTTTGGATATTTCTTCAAGCTCAGTTTGTTTTTTTATTAACAGATCTGATTTCATGTGTTTGTTCTTCAAAGCCAAGACCTCAGACCACTTTTCATCATAGCTTTGGAGAACTGAGGAAAGATCATCTGTGGAGAGATCATCCATTAAGATTTGAATCCATTTCAGGAAATACTGTTTGTCTGTTGGTGAAAAAGATGAGAGACTTACAATGAACAACTCCACGAGTTTACTGAATGAAGCAGCACATTGTTTCTGGCGTATGTTCATCAGTTCTTGTTCCTTTTTACATTTCTCCTTTTCGATGTCTCCTCTGAGATGATACAGTTCTTTATGTATTTTGCTCCACTGATGCCACAGATCACCTCGATAAGGAAGGAATTCATCTTTGAGCTTTGAAACATTCATGTTATCCTTTGAAAGAATATCCACTATGATCATAGCAGCAGATTTCCCTCTTTGACAGGCTGGGTCACTTTCATCCACTCTGATTTCAGAGAGCTCAGCCATGGTTTCAAGCTGGAAAGATGATTTCAAGTTTGAACCATCTAGAGATGACGAAACCTCTCGAATAATTTGTTTCAGTTCTTCAGATATATCTGACTGGCTTTTGCCTTTGAGACCCATGATGTATTGTCCAGTTGTTGTCTTAAAAAGATCACGGTCGTCATCAACAGTGAGAAAAATGAAATGGTTTTGAGACTCAAAAAGAGCTGTTATAATTTCATCTTTTTGCAAAGATGCAACAAGAACAACTGTGACTAAAGATCTTTTAATCAGTATGTCGCGCTGTCTTTCAGTCAACAGCGCATCACCATGAAGATTACAAAAGGCAATGCAGTCATTGAAGGCATCATTGGGTTTTCCAGCAGGACAGTACCAGGCAATCTCTGCCACACCATCCATCAGATAACAAGACTTGGTGCTTCCTGGACAGTTTCTGTGGAAGAAGGTGCTGTGACGGTCGTTGATCAAAGTGTTGATCAGCTGAGATTTAGACACTGACAGAGAGCCCAGGCGTAAAAATGACACCAAGGGTGTCTGAGCTTTATACACTGGAACACTCTTCATAGTGACAATGTTTGAGCTGTCTTTGATTTCAGTTACCTTCCAGGTCTTTGTTATTTGTCTGAAAGTCCACAGAGGACACTCGATCTCCATAGTGACTGGGTCAGGAACAAGCAATGGTAAGGCATACTGACACTGAGAGAGCTTTGTAATCATCATCTGTTTAAGGAAGCTGTCTGAGCAGTGAAATACTGCCATCTGAACATCCATTGGATGCAAATGAGTCTGTTCTGACTGACGCGTGTCTGCACTCATGCTTAATAAAGCATCCAAATTAATGAAATCTTTCTTAGTGATATCAATCACTCGAACAGACTTTGGATGTGTCCCCTCAGGACCGTCCGCTTTCACACGAACATATCTGGCCCTGTAATCTAACATCATCAGCCTGTGAAGAAAAGTATATGTTAGATCTGTCTCAGATGTGACATGGTGCTGTTTCACAGGTGGACGTATCTGAAGAAAATCTTCTGGTAGAAACTTCCTTTGAAGATTTTCTTGAATGTGAAGTCTGTCAAACAGTTTTTCAGTTTCTTTTTCACATGACTCCTTCTTGTTAACTTCAGAGTCATTCCTTGACTGCAGCAAATAAGAAATTACATTTATGTAACAAATTTATAGTTTTGTACAGTGTGGTAAAGTAAATTAATTATTTGATAATATTTTTCTTACCTTGTCCTTGTTTCCACTGATGTTTTTCTTATTTACGTTCAAGTCCACATCAGAGGTTCCTGGAGTTTAAAATAGAACCAAAAGGCCAAATCAATGTGTGATAGAAGCAATACAGTTTTTTCTGCACAACCTGTCCAGTTTTTTTTCTTTTTGTTTTGACTCCACACTGCAGTGGTTAACACATTCACTAAAAACACAAAAGATCTGTGGTTTGAGACTAGGAGACCCATAACCCTGCTGTGGTGACCACTTTTAAATAAAGGAACACTTGAAAAATGCTTTCGGTAACCAATTTTTACTTATTCCTGTTAATATATAAACCAGGTTTTCTTTTTTTCTTTCTTTTTTTTTTAAACTCCTTTGTTACAGATGGTTGTGGAGGGTATTTACCATTGACAGTGGAAAAATCTTGGCTATGCTCATTTTCAAAGCTTTTGATCAGTGGTTAAAGGACAGGCCCATAATGTCAGGGACCTGGGTTCTTGACTTTTTTTAGTTTCCTGTGTTTTTTGTCACTTTGTATTGTGAATTATGTTCTCATTGTTGGTCTTTAGTTACTCCCTTGAGTCTAGTTTCTTGTGTTCCGTTCCTAGTATTTCCCTCTGTGTATTATTTATCATCTCTAGCCTTTTGATTCTTTGAGTTCTATGCCTTATGGTTTATGTCTCTGTTTCTTAGTTGCTCTGTCTCCACAGTGTCTAGTCAGCGTCTCAGTGTTATACTTCCTGTTTTACTTTGAAGGTCTGTGTCTCATGTGAGTGTATCCTGCTTTGCTTAATTGTCTCGTCAGTTCTGATTTCCCCCAGCTGTGCTCTCCTTCTGTGTCTCATTCCCTCGTTATTCCCCAGTGTATTTAAGCCCTGAGTTTCTCTGTGTCAGTGTCGTGTCATCCCTCATGGTTGTGTTTCGCTGTGTGTTTATCCTGTGAGTTTAGTTTATTCTTTCCCAGTTTAGTTGAGTTTTCGTGTTACATGCATTTTCCTTGCCAGCCAATAAAGCTGTAATTTTGAGTTCATCCCTCATGTCTGAGAGCCTGCATTTTGGGTCCAACTCCTGCCTGCACAATGCTGAAACCTGACACATAACAACTTGAACCACCCACACAGCACAAGAAGTTCTTATAACTCTAATATACAAACACATATAAATATTTCCAACCTGCTCAATTTTCTAAGCCATTTCCACTGTGGGGGACAAAAGGTTTCAAACTTGTCCAGGCCTTAAACTTCATGTGTGTTCTCCCTAGTAGTAGTAAATGCATAGAAATCAAGCTTTTATGAAAATGCTGAATAAAAAATAGTTTCCTTGTAAAAGACTAACTTTACAGTTCACTCTTGAAAAGCATATAAAATAAACGACATATAAAATGTCATTGGATGGCAGAGATGCAGAAATGTCTGCGTCTAGAGTGTCTAAATGAGTCTCACAGGCCTGAATGTGTGCATAAAGACATTTATAATTCTTGACTTTTTTTGATCTGCTGCTCACCACAAACAAGCACAAGCATAAATTTTGGACCTGTATTGTCAATTTTGTAGCTTTTCCTACTGACAAAAATCTCCCTCATGGCTATACATACTACAAAAAGTAAGCCACACATAACAAAAAGTTTCAGTTTCTCTCTTTCTACTATAGAAATTTCATTTTTTTACAGGTGCAGTAAAAAAAAAAAAAGCATAAAAACAAAACAAAAAAACTACACAGTCTTTTTTACCTGTATTGTAAGAAATAAATCTGTAAAATTACAGAACAAGTTACAAGTCCAAAGAGTCATGCTGACAGATTTCAGCAGGACTCTATTAATAAATAATTTTAAGGAATAAACTTTCCTTGTCATTGTGTACCCTACCTTTACTTGTAAAACACCAAAATACACCAAAAATCCAGCAAACAATTCACTTCAATCACGTGAACCTAGCCAGACAAACCAAGCCTTGACACAGAGCTTCTGAAGCACTGTGTTGTGGTTTTGGAGTGTGATCACTGAGTTAGGGTGAATAGTAAATTTAATAGTACTTTACATTGTGCTCTGTCCCCTTGTTTTCTAACTTAATTCCTGGAGGATGCTTATTTGATAATTATTTACTTTTTTTGTATAGTCAATAAAGCTGGTTCTAACAGCTCTTGAATTGCATGGGGATTCCAGACTGCAGTGTTTGTCTTGATTTTAAGATGAGCCACCTCTCTGCATGCCACAAATACATAGATTAATGATTTTTAATTATTAAAACTGTAAAGATTTTGAGTTATCAGTCAAATCTAATCACTTCGGTCATACACATTACTCTGGTGCAGGAATAAAATGCAGACTCCCACCATTAGCATGCTCTTTGCAAATTCCAACTATTTTGCTACTTTTATTGATAGTATGTGAAGAAGGCGCATTATAGTGGACTCTGTGTTTAATTAAGAATTACTATTGAGTATTGATCCTGTTAAGTAAATCCAAGCAAAAGATGAAAAAGGGTAGAACAACACTTCTAGCAGGTGGCGGACAGTCAGTCTTGGTGACTTTTCCTTAAGGATCGGCAAGTGTTTCATTGTGTTTCACAAAAACCATGAACTGTACCTGCTCTCATCTGGACTTGGATGGAAGCATAACTCTGCTGTTTAAAGTGTCCAAAGATCTTTAGATGTCTGCAGCAGCAGGGGGATTTGCCATAATCAGTGTAACTCTAAGTTTAGTTTAATTGCTAGATGTTTTTGATTTTTATTCTGTTTCATTTGTATGGCTCATTAAAAGCTATTTGGAATAGAGCACATTCAATTTTTATAGAAGTAATAGAAGTTGCAAACAATTTCAAGTTTTGTGAAGACTGATAATAAAGCGGAGGGGGAGACATGCGGCAAAGGTTCGCGGGTGGCACTTGTGTACTTATCAGTACATGTTAGTAAATTGTGCTTAAATATTGTATTTTGCATTTATATTGTCAGTATATTTGATATATTTGATATTTAAGTATTTTTTGCATTTCATGATGCTTTGCATTTTTACATGATGGTAAATTTCTGTTTTGTGAACACAATGCACAAACAGTCTTCTCTGAGCCAAAGTTAATTTAAAATGAAGCCAAAGTGGAAAAGCAGATAGAATCATATGCCGGACAAGAATAGGATGACATTACTTTCCCAAAAGTCCAGCAATTGGTCTCAGATCCTGGACATTTATAGACTATTGTTAAAGGAACATATTGTCCCTACTTTTTGGTGGGGACAAATTCCACTTTAAAAGTACATTTACTCAGTTTAAACATGTGATACAACATCTTTGTGTATTGTGAATAAAATATGGATGTCTAAGATTTAAAAATCATTGCATTCTGTTTTTATTTCCATTTCCCACAGTGTCCCTGCTTTTGTAGAATGGGATTGTACCTTTCGATTGTTTTAGCAACACTCACTTTGAGATCATCAGTTTATGAATATAAAAATACAACTGCATGTCAGTAAGACTGAAAAGGTGCTATTTAACCGCAAATGTATTATATTACAGTTATAGCCAAAGTTTGGTGGTAATGTAAACATGCACACTTCAACAAGAGTGTACATTTGTAGTGATCCAGATTTTGCAGAAAAGCATTAGAAACAGAGGCGTATGAAGCATAGCTCATGCTCTGTGGTGTTAGGTGAAACAGTCTGACATCTCACACTAGTGTAATTTTCTGTATCACCCTCTTCAGAGTTTCTAAACATATATTTGTTGCTTTTACTAATGATTACTTCATCAACATCAGTTTCTTCTGCTCCAGGGTCACAACATACAAACATCACACTTTAATTTATGAATTCTCAAACTGTCTCTATATAAGTTACTGTGTAAATGAACATAAAATGAATATGTTACCTTTCTGTTTGTTTGGGGACAGCACTGGAGACTTGATTTCAGGTTCTTCTCTTAATGCTGTGCTGTCATCAGTACTCTCTGATTGTTTGACATCAGTGCCTTCTTCATTCTGAGAAACAAATACTGTCATTTGTTTGTTAGCTGAAAACCACTGATGTAGACTAAAGATGAAATGGACTACAGATGACCCAGCAGTTAATGTCTTTTTTCACACATTTCTCACAGGCTCACATCTTATGACCAGTTAATACACAATTCCAGTGTCTCTGTCATATATCTGATATTCATTTTAGAAAGTAAATGTTGGTGTGCAATGATGAACATTTTTTAAAACAAAAAAGTAACATTTACCTTGATTTCATTTGTATCCTCCTCCTCATCTTCTTCTTCTGCAAAGAAAATATCTGTTTTACAATGCAGGATCAAGGGAACCAGTTTCTGTTTTGGTAACTAGAAATGAACCTAGTGTGATAACTTCAACACACTAATGAAAATGGTAAATGGCCTGTATTTATATAGCGCTTTTACTAGTCCCTAAGGACCCCAAAGCGCTTTACATATCCAGTCATCCACCCATTCATGCACAGGTGATGGTAAGCTACATTGTAGCCACAGCCACCCTGGGGCACACTGACAGAGGTGAGGCAGCCGAACACTGGCGCCACCGGGCCCTCTGACCACCACCAGTAGGCAACGGGTGAAGTGTCTTGCCCAAGGACACAACGGCCGAGACTGTCCGAGCCGGGGCTCGAAACGGCAACCTTCCGATTACAAGGCGAACTCCCAACTCTTGAGCCACGATCGCCCAATGAGTCAACATAATGATATTCTGTGTTCTTCTGCACAGTATAAAGGTCAGCTATAATACAGTTTATTTGAGGTTTATATAATGGAGTATTTTGTGGCTCTCCTCTGAATGAATCCTGGCCTCCATCTGAGCTGTTAGACACTTCTATAACTCTGACATTAATACTGTGAAAAGCAATGAAATTCAAAATTCACCACAGAATAACTGAGGGACAGAGATGGTATCAAAGTTAGAGAAAGCAGGCAAGAAAGAAAAAAAAACAGGGAAGGCAAGACACATCCATGGAGCAAAAGAAATATGTTTGAAGATCATCAGACAGAGGACTTTATGTTTAGCTAACATATGACTTTTGCTCAGTTATAGTTGAATAATGTAAAAGTGCAACTGCGGCCAGATAGCCTTAGAAACAAATAATTCAAACGTGCATAGGAGCTGGAACAACTGATCCTACTTAAACCAACAGAACTCTGCTTTTAATATTATCTAGACCTGTGGTTTTCAAACTGTGGTACGTGTACCAATGATGGTACGTGGGCTCCCTCTAGTGGTACGCGGGAAGTCTCCCCCCCAAAAAATAAGATTAAATAATATACCATGTTCTGATTGAGGGATTTCTGAAAAATGAAAACGTACAACATAAATGAAGACAGAAAACTAAACAATAAAAACTAAACAATAAAAAGTTAACAATAAAAGTTAACGCAAGAGTTTCCAGTGGTTAGGGACAAATACTATCAAATGGCAGGATGCTGTAAATGGACCAAACTTCAGTCAGGAGAACAACTGAGATAATCCATCCACAATACGAGGTTATGGTAGTCATTCATTTATTGCTGCATTGGCTGGGCTGTAGTTACATTGTAAGGTTTTAAAAACTGATAGTAATAAATAGTGGTAATAAAAACTGAGAGAGGCCGACAGTGATCACTGCCTTTTTTAGGGGCTTGTTCAGATTAAATAGAAGAAGATACAAAGCATTAAAACATGTTAAAAACACAACAGCCTTCATAAACACAGAGTAGTTTGGATCCGGAAGCAGGGTTCATACGTCATCACTTAAAGGTTGGATATCCCACCTGCTATGAATGTTTTAATGCTGTACAGTTATTATTATTATTATCACTTTTCACATCCTGTTTATGACAGTTAAAATAACTAACATTCATATAAGAAATAAAATTGTCTCGTGCAAACTGTATATGGTGTTAAATAGGCCTATGCTACTGTAATTTAATGTCGGTCATAAGGGTAGTACTTTAAGAGCCATATATTTTATGAGGTGGTACTCATTGTGAAAAATTTGAGAGCCACTGATCTAGACAGAAAAAACCCCAGATTCATTAAATAAATCAGATTTTGCCAAAGCACCAGTTAGGTTTCTTTAATGAGTTCAACAATAATCAGACATTAGAGGAGCTAATTCTAACATTACTGTTCATAAATAAATATTGTCACTACATTAATTGTATCTAATAAAATTAAGATTCACAGTTTTGTCCATTGTACTTATGTGTACTTATGTTACGACCCCCTCTGCTAGGGGACGAGGGGGAGTAACATACACAAGACCTCACATGAGACACTAAGTAAAATAAAGATTTTATTGCAAACTTCAAACAGAAAACCGACAGGGCCATGTTCAACAGAGGTCTGGGCAACCAGTTAGCACGTAATGCATGAACACAGACGACACATTAACACTGATCGCAACTCTCTTGTATTCCTTGCTCAAATGTTTAATCACAATTGACGCCTTGTGCGATGGGCCCTATTACAAGAATACAACTTAGAGATTCAGCATAAAAAGGGTACTGAAAATTTATTGGCCTGTCCAGGTGGTGAGTATGACTTGTTTTATTTTCTGCTGTGAACTGTGAAGATTGTGTATACAAAACCTAGTTTTGTAATTTAAGGGGAGGGGTGTTATGGCCCTGGGCCTTGGAGGGAGTGAGATTGCCTTTCTCTTCAAGCAAATGCAAGAGTGCCAGCACTTGCTGACGATTGGCTAGCTGGAGACTCGTGCAGTCCTGAATGCAGATTGCAGTATGTCAACCCTCACAGATAACTGGCTGCCTGGGATACTGTGGTGCTCCAGGAAGCAATGAGTGGTTGATTGTACTCATCTGTGGCTACAAAAGGCTATATATCCTTCACTCAGTGGCTTCTGCTTAGGACTGAACATGCAGTTTGCCCTTCTTGCCTCCCTCTTTGAACTTTGCTCGCCCAACTCTGTTCATGGTGTTGAACTTTGTTAACCCCGGGTTATGGTTGAACTTAGCTTGAGTAGGTGGTTGTTGGTGTTATTGCCCGTGAGGCTAGCTTTAGTTTTTCACTCTCTTGTGTACTAATCAATGGTGTACTGATTATTTGCCCAGTGGCCTGCAAAATGCAGCCCTGTCAGTTTTCTGTTTGAATTTCTGCAATAAAACCCCCTTTTTTTCATTTAGCTTCTTGTGTGAAGGCTTATGTATGTTACTCCTCCCTGTCCCCTAGCAGAGGGGTCGTAACATGCTGACTGTGAGAGTTTGTTTTAAGAATTGCAACAGTGTTGGAAAAATGCCTAAAACACAGACAGGCAGGTACCTGTTTTATTTGTCTTTAACTCAGAGTCTTTCCTTTCTTCTTTGTGGGATTTGTCCTCCAGGTGTCCTTCCTGTTCTCTGTTTTCAGCACACACCAGTCCAGTGTAGCTTTGTGGATCATTTTCAGAGACCATGATGTTTATTTTTTCTAACAAATCTGCTACCTCTTTTTCATCCATCATATTTCTGTTACATGTGTGGAACCTTTTTTCATTAAACTCTGTGTTAGTTTTCAGCTCCTTTAATGCACTTTCACATGTTTCACCTGGTTCATGAGTCACCACTGTGATTAAATAAGAAAGTGCTCCTCGCCCAAAAGCTTTCTCTAGCCACTGCACTCCTGAGCTGTACTGGTTGTTATGCAGAGTGTTGGGTAATAGTAAGACAAAGGCATGAACTCCCTGATTTAAAGGGATTTCCTTTGTTTGTAGACCGAGCATGTTAATGACACAGACGTGTCGACCACACAGATTATACAGATTGGAGGAAAACTGTTCCACATTTGTGTGCACTTCATGGTCAAGGAAAATGTTCTTTGGTCCGATCTCAATGGAGGCTGGATCACCAATTAGTACAAGTGTGAGATCAGGAGCCACTGTAGAAAAAGAACAACATGTTACAATACAGACATCACTAAAACCACAGTGAACGATTACTTTGTGATTTTAATGAACAGTAACTAAATAATAAGAATAAAGAATAAATTAAATTTAAATAATTAAAGAGGTAAATGCTTCACTGTGTTTATACTCAAATTAGATGCATAGTCTAAATAGGTCTGACTATAACACTATAATATGATCACATTACTTCTCTCATTGATGGGAGGTGTTTCAGACGTGTTTTCAGACTCTCCTCCTGTGCTGTCGTTGTTTTCCTCTGCCGCTGCAATATCTTGATCATCCATCTCATCAGCTTCTCATTTTACTGCAGGTCTGTGTATCACATATGCATTCAGTTTATCAAAGATGAAAGTACAAAAAGATAGAACTTTTTATCAGGTGCACACGTTCAGCTACTCGTTAATTCAAATATTTGGTCAGTCAATCATGTGACACCACTCAAAACATTTAGGCTCATAGACATGGTCAGGATGACCGGCTGAAGTTCAAAATAAGCATCAGAATTGATAAGAAAATTAATTTATTTGACTTCAAATGTGGCATGATCTACTGGGATTTTCTATGATTGCTGATGTCAGAGACAAATGGGTAGACTGCTTCAAGCTGATAGGAAGGCTCAACTCAAACCATTTAACTCAACCATTCGTTACATCAAATATATGCAAAAAAACCATCTCTGAATGCACAACACTTCCAACTGTGAAGCAGATGGGCTTACAGTAGCAGAGGACCGCACCAGGTGCCACTCCTTTGAGCTAAGAACAGGAAACTGAGGCTGCAGGTTACACAGGCTCACCAAAACTGGACAATGGAAGATTAGAAAAATGTTTCCTGTTCATCATATTCTATAAAATCGTATGTTTGTAGTGGCTGTTTTATGAAGCTGACACTTAATGAGCTGGATTAACAAAAACTATTTCAGCTGAGCTCAACATTAAACATCTCCCATGATAATCCAGAATAAAAATGGTGTTTGTTTCTGTTGAATGAGTACTTTTAACATTAAAACTTTAAAAATATCATTTTTAATGCATTTAAATTGTAGTTTATGTGTATTGTATTGTGGTAAATATAGTTGGTATTTTCATAAATCATCTAATTTAAACAATTCCTCATCACTCCTCATTGTCATTTAGTGGTTAAACTAAAAACAAACAAACATTTAATGGGTATGGGTTACAAAATATAGATAGGGAAAAACCAACAGGATGTGCCCTAGTTAAATACTGCAACACTATGTGCTGGCATAACAACTTCAGTGCTCCTTGACAGTGAAGCTAGAGATCAACATCTAAAATGTTCATTCAACATGTATCATTAGTGCTGAAACATCATTTTCTCATTGGTGCTTAAATGTACTGAGTTCTCGGGGCTATAAAGACTATAGCTTATTTCTTACATAATTTTTAACCTCCTCAAGGTAAATGTTAAATTTAGCTTGAGGAGGTGATCGATCAGAAACCCCCCCCAAAAACTTACAACTGGTTTAAAATTATAGTTCCCTCTAAAAGTGTAAACGGAGCAAAACCAAGCACCCAGACTCTCACTGTAGGGGGCAAAAGTTACGTTTTTCCTTTAATACTCATGCCTACACAGATTTTACCAGGTCTTTGCACACACACGCATACATAAATGTGTTTGTTTTTATAACAGTGACAATAAAGAGCTATTCTACAAGAGAAATATTATTAAATAATGATCAACTCACCTCTGTTTTGTGTAGATCCAGATGCCCTCTTATTAATCCTACAAGACACTGATCTTTATATAGAGATCAGTAATATTTAATGATAGGTCTGCCCCTCATAAACTCCTCCCAGCTGCTCTCAAGAAATGGATGTCATATAATACCATAAGGAGCTTTAGATCTCTGCATAAGCAAGTTGCCAATAATTGAGATGCCATATAAGACATATCAGGATCAAACATTAGTTTCAAATGAGTGCTATAAAAATGAAAGTCAAAGTAGAATGGCTACACCACATGATTTCCCAGAAACCATGTGACTTAAGTTTCAGCTTACTGATAAACTCATTCATACACAGCCGGATGAACTGAACAGCTGTTTCCAACAAATCTGTATAACTGTGAACAAAAGTTTTTGGTTCATGCTAAGCCAAAGACTAGAAAATATGGTGAAGAATATCTTCCCTTTGGCTTCACCTGCACACGTGCTGAGGTAGGTCTCCCTGCAGAATTGGTTTTCCCTTCGTGGGGAACAGCGCTGGGCTGTTTAAATCACGGACAAACAGCATCCCACATTCATGATTTTTAGTTCACAAACACTTCTTGTAATAACTACTCCTGACATTTTGGAGATATGCATACTATACTATACTTTATACAGTAAAGTTTTATGTTTTTAAACCTATTTTGCACAGAGAGGCATTTTTTGAAAAATGTATTGATAGCAATGTTGAATACTATTACACTGAAAAAAAAAACAACTACACATAAAATAATCACATCTTGACGCCTCTGCCTTTGTAAATGAAGGGACATTAACTGCGTGTAAGCCTGTAAAACCTGCAGATAGTCAGATTAACAGTATTTTGTCTCTACCTGCCATTCATCTCATGTAAACAATAACGTGGCGCACAGCGTGACGTGAAAAAAGACACATACCTTTGACTTTGCGTGATGAACTCTATTCCTCGTCCACACGTAAATGCAAAAAAGGAGTTTTAAAAAATCTCCGATTCCAAAAGCCGTTTACGTGTGGACGAAGCAGCTGCATGTTCAAAAATACCCGTGTAGGTGTGGCCTTAGCGTAAAAGAGTTAGTAGTTTATTTTCTTACTACCTGTAATTTATTGCAGATTACTTGTATTTGCTTAATTGTTTACTAAATGTGTGAGGTGTGAAATAAACCGCAATGGAGCAAAATATGGGTGTGTGTGGTTGGAGGATGTGTGCGTTGGGGGGCGCAACATTTTTCTTGTAAAACAAAGGGGGGCCCAGCAAAAAAAGTTTGGGAACCACTGGCCTTGATCAACAGCAGCTCCCCCTGGTGTTAAAACTAAGAAGTGCAATACACTCAAGCAAAAGTTGAAGTGCGGGCCATATTCTATTCTATTTATAAAATTACTTGCGGGCCAATTAAAAAGTTTGGAGTTTGGACACCCCTACCCAGAGCTGAAACGCACACAGAGTCTTTGCAGACTAAGGATGAGACATTCTATCAATATGCAATCAATTATATATTTATATTATATATCTCTAAGCATTATTGATTATATGTTTCTAAGCATATGACAATCCAACAATATAAATGTGACAGGTATCTCTGTCTAATATATTTACTCAGAAATTCTCATTGGTGCTGAGATCTGGTTATACCTTATGATTTGTAGCGTTTATCTTCTCTTCGTGCTAAATGTTAAATGTTGTTGAGGGTAAAAAGATGATCATTCAGAAAAACTTTATACTATACTTTAAAAATGACCCCTTCCTGTAAGAGAACAAATGGACCCAAGCCAAGCACTCAGACACTACTTGACAACATCCATAGCACCACCAGACCCCCTCACTTTAAAAATCAAAAGTTCAGTTTTTCTTTTAATTTGTAATCCTTCTTTACAAGTCAAACACCAAACACAGATTGCAGAAATGTTACAAATTGAAAATTTGTAAAATTGAAGCTAGATCAAGAAAAATTGTCACAGTGGCTTTACCCTCAAATGCCCTGCGTAGATGAGTAAGTGAAATCATCGGAAATTATTTCTCTTTTAGCACATAAACACAGCGAGGTGATACTTATAAAGACGCTAAAAAGATGGTCAGAAGGAACAACAAAATAAACTTGGAAGAATTAGCCATATTTGTACAAAATGAAAATGCTATCAGTGGATAGATGTAAAGATATCAGTGGTTACACCCTTGGACATGTTGTTTCACAAGACACGATAAAATGGCTGATCAATTTGTTTCTCTAACTCACAACAACAAATTTAATCTCCACAATATGACTTTTTTGTTAAAAATAGAATTTTTACTTTAATACCAAAATTTCGACTGTATTCTCAAAATGATCAACAATAATTTCTTTACTTAATGTGGCCCTCATACTCCGTATGGTGCTATATATTACCAGAACATTTTTTTCGTTAGTAATCTTTATAAGCAAAACTAATGATCGCTGCAGCACACATACACACTACAAAAATGTTACAAGTTAAAAATCAACTCACCTTTGCTTTTTTTCGATCTGGTTTTTATCAACGCAGCTTCCTTTTTATGAACCCTAACAGATGCTGTTTTTTATAGAGAGAAAAGTTATGCTGAGTCTGCTCCTAATAAACTTGTCTGTTTTGGTGAGAGGCAAAAGAAGCTTTGAATTGTTGCATGACTTCAAGCCAGTGATGTCGTATGTCTATGTATGGTATAGCTAGAAACACACACATACATTGTGCATTATTTACATGTCATTGCTTGGATTTGAAAAAAAAAACTCGAGAATGCAAACCAGCTCGAGAAAGCTGGTTTGCATTGTCTGCTCACATGAGGTAGCAAGAAGGACAACCCAGCATACCTGAAGATGTTTATTACACCGAGTCTTCTTAATAATTTTATCTGTTTTATTAATGATTTAATTAAAATGTTTTGACTTTTATACATTCTTTTTTTGTCTTCACTGCGACAAGTTTCTTTCTCTATTTGACGGACTTGACCCACATTTCCAATTTATTAGAATGAACTTCTGTTTGCCATTTCTTTGGGTTTTCCTCCACAGTGTTACATCTGAGTACTTAGGAAACCTTACAGCTGAGTAATGTGTGAGCAGATGCAATTAATTTTTAGTCTGTCTTCATTCAGTCTTACTGAGATTTTCCTTGCTGAGCAGTCTCGCTGTAATATGGAAGTTTGATTTGTGGTGGAGCTGTAATCTGCAAAAACAGTCTGCATCTCCACCTGTTCATTTAATTTTTGAGGCTGTTCATTGGTTTCCTTGAGTGCCTTGCAAAAGGTGCTTACACCTCTGGTGCGGTGGTTATGTTATTCATACTACGCACAGGTACTCTCTAGTATAATATGTATATGCAGTGTTTCATTTTACAGTATACTGCAATGATCGTCCTTCAAGGTAATTTGAACCATCAGACACTTAACTCATTCACTGCCAGCCATTGGCCGTGAATGAGTTAAACCCATTGACTCATTCACTGCAATTGACGGCTATAGACGTCAATGGCAGTGAATGAGTTAATACCCTTTGAATTGTTTTTCTGCGCCAGTTTGAAGTTTGAACATTTCCAGTTTTGAAATATCTCTATTTATAGAAGGAAAACTAAACTAAAATCAGGCTTTATTTGACAAGCATATGCTGGCATCCATGAAAGACTGAAATTTAGACACAGACACTCTCCCATGATGCCAGTGGTTTTACTTGGAACCCCTGTTGGTAATGACACATGCGGTTTTTCAAACCTTAGCTCATGATTAATAGTAGGTAGGTCAGCTATCACCTGACCTACATATCTTGGGTCTGTGTTTGTGTCCTTCCTGGCAGATAGAACAGTTCATTTTACCTGAGATTTACCGCTTAAAACACATATGATAAAACACTAAATGGATCCAAGCAATCAAGATTTGAGACTTGCAACATAAGGTAGATGAGGCGAGCTCATCTACCGCGTCACCAAACAGGCGAGTCTGGGACACCTCGAGCATGCTGCCAGTCCAGGTAGACCAGACCTATATGTCAGTGTTTTTAGAAAGGACGCAAAAGTAAAGATGAAAGCCAAACTAAACCAAACCAAACTTTTCCCACCGCTTTGTGAGTAGTTGGCATCCAACATGCAAACTGCAGATGACTATGGCAATCTGATTGCAACCAAAGCAATCAGAATTATGTTTTTGGTGCAGCAGACCCTGATTTCACCTGGCAACCACCACAAACTAGTGGCTTTACCCCCAAAGTTGCCAGGGGTGTGCAGCGCCGTGGTCCATTGATCACCTCTCCGGTTTGAGCCTGTCCAAACACATGCTTGTCAATTGGTGATTCTAAAGTGCCTGTTGGTGTGATGGAAGTATTTAAAAAAGTGACGACAGGGTGTGGGGACGGGAGCTGAGCCGAGGAAGCATTCATGCATCAAATAGCAAGAGAGTGAGGGGAACACCGGGGAGGACGACAACAAAACTAAAACAGGGAGCTAAGAACTTCACTACTGTATGTTTTCAATGTTTTTGTCACTTTTTACGGAATCAAACTCAAAGTAAGCTTTAAACCCTGCATGGTCGTTCTCTCTCCTGCACTCCATATTATCCTTTGTTGATCTAAACAATAGTAATCCCTTACTTTACTCGTTACTTGAAAAAAGAAATCAGACTATGCGGTGTTGCCCATCTCTGGTCCACATACAGAAAGTATCACAGAAAGATTTAAGGTATCGTGCCACATTTGACCTCTGACCTCTTGTTCATGGTTAGTAAATTAAGAGTCAAAGTGAAAGACAAATTTGAAACTTTGTTACTTACTACCGTTGTTTGGAATAGAAAGGAATATAGGGAATTATATATTTTTATTTAAAGACAGGACTCGCATGTTTTCATTTCTAGTCTTTAAAACCTGTCTCTATCCATCTAGTATTAATTCTTTCTGGGAAACAAGTATGTATATTATGCACACACACAAACACACATGCAGCTATTACCTATTTCTTGTTTTTATACCTAAGATGAATTATTGTTGAATGAAGACATTTTTCAAACACATGTAAAATGTGGGCAATTGTGTTTATTGGGTAAAGGAAAAGGAAGAAGGGGGAAAAGGGAGGATAGAAAGAATGAAAGAGAGAGAGGAGAGAAAACCCCAACAATCCCCTCTGGGCAAGCACCAGGCGACAGTGGATAGGAAAAACTCCTTTTAAAGTGAAAGAAACCTAAAGGAGAAACCTATGGCTCAGGAGGGGGCAGTCAACTGCCGGGACTGGTCGGGGGTG